GGAGAGCAAACCCCTGTTGGTACTTGCAGAGCCTCTGAGAAACTCCCCCTGAACCATCGTGGCCATCCCATGGTGGAGGGATGTCCTGCACTGTGGCAGCTCCAGGTGGGCTCAGGGAGCATCTCAGCTGCCTCAGAGCTCAAGGACTGAGGTGTTTTGAGGGACATGGGCACAAATTCAGGGAGCCCTTGGATGCACAGTCCCAAGGGATGATTTTTCTTGACTCTCATCAAATGTTCTCAGTTGAAACCAACCATCTTCTCTCAAACTTAATCATGGAATCCCACAAGGGATTGGGTTGGAAGGGATCTTAAAGCTCATCCAGTCCCCCCCCCTGTCATGGGCAGGGACACCTTCCACCAGCCCAGGTTGCTCCAACCTGGCCTTGGACACTTCCAGGGATCCAGGGGCAGCCACAGCTTCTCTGGGCAACCTGTGCCAGGGCCTGCCCACCCTCCCAGGGAAGAATATCTTCCTAAAACCTAATTTAAATCTAGCCTATTTCATTTCAAAGCCATTATTCCCCTTTGTCCCTGGGCCTCTGTCAAGCCACCCTGAAATCCCCCTGTTCTCCTCATGCTCTGGGCCTGGGAAGGGGAGGAGGGGGACACTGGGCACACTGTGTTCCTGACCTTGGTGTCCATCCCTCAGAGGTGGCTGCGGGGTCAGGTGGCTCCACTCTGACCCTCTGTGCACCCATTTACACACAGGATACCAGACAAGGACACACTGGGGCTGGGATGGAAAAAAAAGTGAGTGGCCGAGGGGAGCTTTGAGGGGTCAGTGACCCCGAGTGGGAACTGGGGTGACAGATGCCTTTGCTCCCGTCCCTGTGCTTGGAGCATCTTTTTTATTTTCCACTTCTTGCCCTTGTGCAATCAGCTGCTCTGGCCTGCAGAGGAGCTTCTGGCATTTTAAGGTCAAAATCCCTAAAGTTTGTAAATCCCAGGCCTTTAATAAGATCAGATGTGTGGAAATAGTTTATCCAAGCGGAGCCTGGTGAGAGCAGAGTGGGAATTTGGCTGGGGGATGAACTCGGTGATCTCGGCCTCTCCGCTGCGGGTTTTCTCTCAGGCTCCCTGTCCCACATGGGGTGAAGGGTTTGGGCAGGTCCCCCTCAGCACAGAACCCATCTGGGGCTGCAGAGGGGGTGTCAGGGTTGTCATTATCCTCTTGTCTGCCTGAAGTCCCGTTCCCAGGGGTATCAGGGAGCTGGAGGGGTCTGGTTTGGTGAAGCCACCGAGCCCCCTCTTTGCCTTGGAAAGCTGCAGCCAGATGCGAAGTTGTCCCTCTCTGCCTCCCTTGTGTGAAGGCAAATCACTTCTCTCTGCTCCACAGATGCTGGAGCTGCTGGTGACACAATTTTCCAGGGCGACTGCAACTCCTGGTAGTACTTAAAAACCAACCAACCCATCACCCCCTGCCCAGTCTCCCAGGAGGAAGATCAAAGGCATTTCCCTGTTGGAGGACGAGGCATCCAGGCAGCCAAGTACAGGTGGCAGCTGTGTCAGGGAGGCTTTGATGGGCCCCACAAAACCAGCCAGCAGAGCCAGTTCACCTGGGCCCTGCTGCTGTGCCTGCTTTGGCCATGAAAGCCCTGCAATCTGCAGGCTGAGCTGAGTGGAGCAGCTGGGCTCTCTGGGTGTGCTGTGTGGGCAGCAGGAGGAGCACGAAGGGACATGTTTTGTTTGGGTGAGATTTGATCAAAATCTTGGAAAGGGGTTTCAGGTGGCAGTGAAAGCTGAAACCAGGAGAGCTCAGCCTGGCTGGTTGCTTTTGTTCCTGAAACTGTGCTGGGCTTTGGGAACCCCAGACTGGAGGTGAAGGGCTGGAGAACATCGCCAGGGCTGGACTCTCCTCATGGGAAGGAACTCCCCTGCACCCAACAAAGCTTGTGGAGTTATAATTGTTTGGAAGGGACCCTCAGGGATCATCCAGTGCAACTCCTGGCCCTGCACAGGACACCCCAAGTTGCATCAGGCAGAGCTGGGTAAAGCTCATCGTGCTCCTCAGACACTTGGGGTTTAACATAGAAAATGATATTTAAGTCAACTCAGTATCTCCAAACCAGCAGAGACAGAATTTAGATTAAAAACTGTCCCTCCCCCCTGTGTTTCTGGGGTCACAAAGCCAAGCCTTGCCCACAGACACGTCTGCAGAGCCTCTCTCACCCACGTTTGGTTTTACCCACGTGAGTTTTCTAGAGCTGTGGGACCCTGCTGACCAAACCAGGGCTTCTGGGAGCGTTTGCAGGCTCAGGGCTTCGGGGCTGCTTTGTGCTCTGCAGAAAAGTGAACAAGTAGCTGCGATTTTACAGGAAAAAATAGATGATGTTTCAGTCCTAAAGCTGCCGAGTACGACGTGTTTTCAAGGGGAAGCCTTGAAATGCACATTTGGGCTGATTTTGGTGCTAAACAGAAACCCTCCTCTGGCATGGTGAGGGTTTTTTTATTTGAAAACAGACTGTTTGCTTCTCCATGACCTCTCCCTGGGAATCACTTTCAAGTCTCCCCTGTTTTGACATGTTGTTTGTGCAGAGCTCAGCGTTCACCTCCCTAAACCGAAACCTCATCCCCCCGCTACTGCAAAATTGATCCTGGCCGTGTACAAACCCAACCCCACGGACCCTGCAGGAGGAAACAGGGGGGATCAGGGATGGGTGTTGGGTGTTTGCACAGATAAACCCACGTTTTGTCACCCCCCCTCACCCCGCTCTCGGTGTCACCCCCGCTCAGGTTTTCACGAGTGATTCAGTGTAAAAGTTGGGGTCAGAAACGTTTTCTCAGCCCGGCTCTTGACTCATCTTCCCATGGCAGGCAGGAGCAGGAGCTGCTGTTTAACCAGGCAAGGAGGGGAGGGATTCCTGGGTGGTCCCTGAAACCACAGAAAGCAAAGCATTAAAATGTAACATGAGGATGAAGGGAGAGGGGCACTGAACCACTTTCTCCCAGTGTTATCTGGAGGCAGCAGATGGGGAACAGAGATAACAAGGGTGGCTGCTCATTTTTCCGTGCCCTCTCCAGCCAAATCCAGTAAATAATGAAGTGTAATTTGCCAAATAGCCCTTGAATGTGGGATTTGCTTTCGAAGGTCCTGATGCTGCCACTGTGGCAGCAATCCTGGATTTATGTGGGGAAGAACTGGGTCCCCAGAGACTTGGGGTCAGGAATTTTACTGGTCCTGCCTGAGCAAAGAGCCTGCAAATCATTCCTTGAGTGCCTTGGTGACTGAGGTGGGAGGAGATTAAATAAAAGGGCTGATTTTAGCCTGGATTTTGATGGGGGCTGAGAGGTGGAAGGGGCAGAAGTGGAGGCAGAGAAGTTGCTCTGTTTGGCTTGGCAGTGGAATTGCATTCATTGCATCCAGAGGATGATTTGGGGCTGCTTTGGTCGTGGTCACCCTCACCCTGTGCTACAGAGCTGATCCCTGGAATCCCAGAGTCATTTGTGTTGGAAAAGCCTTCCCAGATCATCCAGTCCAACCATTCCCCCAGCACTGCCATCCCACCACCAAACCACGGCCCCAAAGTGCCACATCCACGTGTTTTCTGAGCAGTTCCAGGGGTGGTGATTCCACCAGTGTAATCCTATTGAGCCAACCCTGAGATTCCCACCTGGAGAAAAATCCCCAACATTGTGTTGTTTGGCCTTTAAGTGATGCCCAGGAGTTGGGCTGTGGAGGATGTGAGTGGAGCAGGATCTCCAGACTGGGTCAGACTGGGAAGCAGTTTGAATCCATATTTTCTCAGGGATTCACTCAACACTGCCTAAAACAAGCACTCACCAGCATTTTGCATATTAAATCAGAGCTGAAACGAACTTAGAGCCATGGAAATCCACACTGGCATTCCCATAAAACAGAGAATTCTTTCATTTTTCATGTCCGTGCCCAGATATTCATGAAAATACCCAAGAGTTTGCCCATGGTGTCGTTTTTCCACTGAGTTTTCATGGAAAAATTTCCACTAGGCTACAGTGCTAAACCAAGCTCAGGTGGAAGATTTCCATATGAGGCCGATAAAGTTCAGTTTTTGGGATGGTGGTTGTGGGAGGCTTTCCTTCTCCAACAAAGATGTTTTTCAGGAATACTCACAATGTAGGACAAAGAGCCAAACCTTTATTCCGATTTTTTTCCCTCAAATGGGTGCTTTTGTCTGTGAAACCCTTGGGCTACAAATATCCACCTCCTTCCAAATAAATCAGGAAAAGGCATAAAAAAAAAAAAAAAAAAAAAGGAAAGGATGAGGTTTGCTTCTCGTCAGGGCTCACTCCAGGCCTGGCTTGGCTTGGCCCCTCTCTCCCCTGGGATGGCTGCACGTCCTTCATGACTCGCCTGGATCCGTCACTCCGTGCATGATGTAACTCCGGGTTAACGTGGGATTTTCCAGCTCTTTGTTTTCCCTTCCTCCTCAGATGGGTTTTCTGCTGGTTCCCCATCCTGCCTCAGCTCCCTTTTTCATGGAATCGTGGAATGTCCCAGGATGGTTTGGGTTGGGAGGGACGTTAAAGCTCATCCAGTGCCACCCCGTGCTGTGGTCAGGGACACCTTCCACCAGCCCAGACTGCTCCAACCTGGCCTTGGACACTTCCAGGGCTGGGGCAGCCACAGCTTCTCTGGGCAGCCTCTCCCAGGGCCTCCCCATCCTCCCAGGGAAGAATTTTCTGGAATAAAGAATTTTCTAAGATGCTTTAATTTTCCCCTTCTTTGTCTCTGGACCGGGACAGTGGAGTGGTAATTCAGGGATGCTTTTTCACCCTCTCGCTCACCCTGGCGTGGGATTCTTTGCCTTCCTTGGTATCTGGAGCTGCTCAGCTTTGTCCCAGACACTCGTGGGATGATGAAGCCCAGCGGGTTGATGTCTGGGAAGGTCTTTGATCCCACTGTCCAGTTCCAGTAGCACATTCCACGTGCCCCGTGTCACCTGGTCAGCACAACTCCTGTCGCCTTTCCCACTCCTGTGTCCTCATGACCATCTTTCTCTGCTGCTTTTTTTTTTCCAGACATGGAATGTGCAGATGTGCCTTTATTAACTCCCAGCAGCAAGGAAATGATGTCCCAGGCACTGAAAGCCACGTTCAGTGGCTTTGCCAAGGAGCAGCAGCGGCTGGGAATTCCCAAAGGTAGGACATGCTTTTCCCAGGGAGCAGCCATGGTATCCACAGGGCTTGTGCCCTCCAACCAGACTACCTGGAGTTCTCCATGAGTTCTCCAAGGCTGCCATCCCTTTGTTGGGTCTCCTCAGGTGGTATTGCCTTGTTTCTTGGCAGCTTCAGCTGGAGAAATTTGGATAAGTCATGTCCACTATAGGGAGAAGCAGCAGGGGAGTACAACTAGTCAAACTGGTGACAGGGAAAGAAGCCAAAAAAACTGGAGAAAAGGGTGGGAGAAGTGGGGCAGAGACCTAATGGGATTATTGGGAGTCCCAAACAAATCCAAAGCTCATTGAAATATGTGCCCAGTGGGGCTGATCCAAGCTGGGCATTGTGTTCCCTCACCACCCTGGTGCCAGTGGGCTGCCAGTCTCCATGGGAGTGCAGCTGTAGCCCTGTTGGTGCCCTGTTTTCCTGGGAAAGCTGCTGGTGGTTGCTCAGTGCAGGGTCCCTCCTGCAGATCCCCAGCAGTGGACGGAGACGCACGTGCGGGACTGGGTGATGTGGGCGGTCAACGAGTTCAGCCTCAAGGAGGTGGATTTCCAGAAGTTCTGCATGAATGGAGCTGCCCTCTGTGCCCTGGGCAAGGAGTGCTTCCTGGAGCTGGCCCCTGACTTTGTGGGAGACATCCTTTGGGAGCACCTGGAGATCCTGCAGAAAGGTGAGTCCTGGAGTCTCCGTGGGGAACGAGTGGCGCTGTCCTGACCAGCCTGATTTTGGGGCTTTCCAAAGAGCACTCGGGTGTTCACCTGGGGCTTCAGTGCCAGGAAAAACATTTTAACACAGCCCAGCTTTCCAGCAGGATTCCCAAATGGGCATCCCCACTGGCAGTGGGCAAAGCAAACCCTGGCACTGCCTGAAAGGGGCAGGGTGTTTGTGCCGGGTGCTTGGCAGGAACCCACCGTGGGCAGGGACGCTCTGCCTGCCTGGAACCCACACTGGGATTTTCCAGAGCGTTTTTCCTCGGCTTGTTCAGCTCCTGTTGTGAATTTTAGTGCTTCCTCCAGGAGATCTGGGCACGCACCAGAGTCCCACCCTCATTTCCTAGCGGTGATTGGAAGCTGCTTTGCTTTCTTTCAGGTCCCAAAAAAGGTGTTTCACATCCCGAAAATGGCATTTTTGGGGGGAGGAGAAGCCATCCCTGCCACTCCCTGTGGGACAGTATCCAATTGCCATGGGCTGGGGACACACTTGTTGATTTTGGCTGTTGATTTTCAGGGTCTGGATGCCCAGGAAATGCTGGGATTGTTTCTAAAGGGCAGGAGAAGAGCTGAACACCTTAAACCTGGGCCATGAGCAGGAGCAGCAGCCCCTGGGCTCCTATTCCAGCTCCTTTTTGTGCAGAGCTGTTTGCTTTCCTGGAACATCCCTTGTGCTGCCCTACTGACCCTGGTGGCAGGAAGGGGAGGGGGGAGCACAGTTATTCCTTCCAGGAAACCATTGACAAGTGGCTGTTAATTGCCAATTACTAACTTTACTGCTACCTGTGGTTTTCAGAAGGTAAACACGGGCTCTGGGTAGGACAGGCTGTTTTCCTGCTCTTTTCACTCTTTATCTGGGCTGTTCTTCTTCTTTTGCATGTTTTTTTATTGAGTGCTTATATCAACAGCAGGTACTTTAACCAAACAAAGCCAAACCTTGTGGTCAGCCCCATTTCTCCTTGCTATGAGCCATTCCTTGTACCTTCCCACAGCCTTCCTTCACTGGTGCCCCTGGCTGGGACAGAAGGGTGGAACAAGATGATCTTTTAAGCTCATTTCAACCCAAACCGCTCAGTGATTCTGTAATGCTGTGATTTTTGGGGCTAGAACTCACTGGAGAAGGGTGGGATGTGCTGCAGGTACTGGCTGAGCCATCAGAGCTGGGTGTGCAGCTCCTTCCTGTGGATTCCCCACACGTGGAGATGAACTTGGAGCTGTAATTTCCCAGGAGAGTGGGAATCTGTTTTCATGTATCACTGACACACACAAGGGTGTTCAGACACTGCAGTCTTGAGGACACCAAAGGTCTGGGACAGCCAGGAGATCTTACAAAGCAGCTGGAAATCCTTGCTCCTGTTGTAACTCTCCTTCCAAAAGGAAGGAGAAGGATAAAGCTGAATTTCTGAGTGTCTCCACACTGTTGGTGTAGCCCTGGGAACCAAGAAATCTCCCTTCTGCGTTTTCTGGGGACTTTGTCACTCTTGCACAAGCTGAGCCCTCTCCCCTCGGGTGAGTTCTGAACTCATTTCCCAGCAGGGCAGTATCTGTGAAGTGTTTGGGGTGTAACCAAGAACCTGTAAGAAATAACTCCAAGGCCTGGTTTCTGTTCCCTGCAGCTCACAGGACTGGTGTCAGTGGTAGCACATCTCCAGCCCCTGCCAAGGCCTGGGTTGTGCTGGTGCTGCACGAACAGAAGGTGCAAAGTTGTCCCTGCCACGTCCTTCCCCACCCAGGAGGAGCTGGGGGGTCTGCACTTTGCACCTGGGGATGGGACATGTGGAGAGATCAAGGTCAAACTTGTCTCTCCATCCTCTCCATCCACCCACCATCATCCCTTGGGGTTGCTGGTGCTGGGGGTGGTGCTTAACCCCAAAATGCTTGGCTTTACCTGTCCCTGTCCCAGGGTCGTGCTGGGACGTGCTGTGACCTCGCTGTCCCCTGGGCTGACCTTCCCCTGTGAGCTCTGAGTGACTCATGTACCACAGACTGCTCAGGGTTATAAAAAGGTAGCAGATGGGCCACTTTCCCCTGCTTGGATTTGGGTATTTTCAGGCGTATTTTCCCAAATTTCCTCCTAAAATAACCCCCTGTTACCAGCAGCCAGCAGCGAGTGCGAGCACAGCCCAAGGTCGCTCCCCTGCCCTGTGGTCACCCACCCTGTGCCTTGGCAGCCACCACAGGGAGAGCAGAAGAGCTTTTCTCATTAGTTCTGTGTGTTTGCACAAACCCTCCTTTTGTCAGGGAATATTTTCCACCCTGCAATCCCCAGGAGAGAGGGCCAAAATTAAGCTCCTTGCGAGCGAACGTGCGTTATCTTTGCTTGGCTCCTCTTGAGCCTCAGCAAGAAACAAACACAACTCGGAGCTGCCTGGGGTGGTGTGTGGGGGGGGTGTTTTTTGGTTGCCCTCTGCAAAGAAAAGAAAATCTCCCATGCCAGGATCTGTGCCCACAATGCCACGCTGGAATGAGAAAGGTGTTCGTGGAAAAACTGGCGAGGGGAGGAGCGGCTTTTGTGTGGGAAAGCGAATCCAGCGCCAAGCCCAGGAGCACCAAAGGGCTTGGAAAAAGCAACAGGCAGCAGGGAATCTGTGCTTTGATGTGCTCTGTGCTCTTTCCCAGTGAGTTATGCCTATAGAGAAGCTAAAATTTGGCATCCTGCCCACATATACACAGTGGAGTCTGGGCCAGGAATTGGGTCGGGGACAGTGGGACAAAGCGTTTTTTGGACATGGAATGTTTTCCCTGCATCAGGTGCTGCACAGGCTGGGAATCAGCATTAATTAGGGGTTAGAGGAGCTGGGTTTGGTATGTGTTACCCACTCCCTTGCACACACCTACTGCTGGTCTAAAAATAGGGGTTTTCAGGGAAACAACTGCCCTTGTAAGGTGAGTTTTTTTCGGGAGCTCACACATGGACGCGTGATCAGCAACCCTCGGGAGGATGGAAGACAACAAAGACCAAGGCAAGCAAGGAAATGATGCAACTGGTGTTTCAGAACCACCTGGAGCCTCTGACTGAGAAAACTGTTGCTCTTTGGGTTGGGTTGGTTTGGTTTAAATCTGGCCATACCTGCAGCAAGAATTTCCAAAGTGCCTCAAGTCTCTGTGAGCTTTCAGCTCTTCATTAATTTCTGTTCCTTTCAACGTCCCAGTTTAACCCAGAGAGAAGCATTTTAGGAAGTTCTGACCTCTCTGTGTGACAGCAAGCCTTGCAAAGCACAGATGTGTGACATTTCCTTCCTTTCCTCTTTGCAGAAGAGGTAAAACCATACCCAGCAAACGGAGCCAGCACGACGTATCCCGAATCCCGCTACACCTCCGACTACTTCGTCAGTAAGTCTCAATTATCAGTGTCATTCCAGGCATGGAAGTGCCTCCTGGGAGAGATTTGTCTGCATCACACGAGGACTTGTGCAAAGCCTGGTTGGGTTTAGGGTTTATTTAGCACCCATGTGTATTTTTGGTGTCTGATTTTGCAAGTGGTATTTGTTCGAAGCTGTAGCTCAGCAGAGCTTGGAAGAGACCTCAACACTCCTGAGTGCTGGGAATTGTTAAAAACATGTTTAAAAAGGAAGGGAATGGGGGAAGAAGGCTTGATTCTGGGTTGCTAGGAAGGAGCCTAGAAAGGAAAGGGGTGAGTCCTCAATCTGCTCTCCTGCACTTCCCATTGCCATTGCTTTGGAGATGCTCTGTAAGCACATTTGACATCTGGGAGGTATTTCGTGAACCAGCTAAAAACCCCAGTTGACCTGAGGTGTTTGGGAGAAATCCTTCCCTGTGAGGGTGGGCAGGCCCTGGCACAGGTTGCCCAGAGAAGCTGTGGCTGCCCCTGGATCCCTGGAAGTGTCCAAGGCCAGGTTGGACGGGGCTTGGAGCAACCTGGGCTGGTGGAAGGTGTCCCTGCCCATGGCAGGGGGTGGGATGAGATGAGCTTTAAGGTCCCTCCCAATCCAAACCAATCTGGGATTCCATGATTCTGTGATTCCATAATTCAGAGAATCAGGATTCCAGGCTCTGGCCAGTGAGGAGAGGTGACTGTGGAAACGGTTCACCTACTACAGTCATCAGTGAAAGAGTTTTGCCCTATAACTCCTCTGTGAGACTCCATTCCTCATGATTTCCCAGCTCTTTCCCTCTGGCAGCTCTCCTCAGGGGAAGCACATTGGTAATGGCTGAGGAAGCCTTGAAATTTTGTTAAATTACTGTGTTTATAGGACAGGATAAATTTATAGATACCTCAGCCAAAAGGCCTTTAGAAACCACCTCTGTAGCTTTCAGAAACCCTGCCCAAAACTAGTTCCCAGTTGTGGCAGGTGTTTTATCTCCCAAGGCACTGCAGGTCTCGCTGTGGATGGGGAGGCTGGAGAGGGGCCAAGTTGGTGCTCAGGTTTCTTTGATATTTTGGGATTTTTTTTTTCACGTTCCTGTTCTGCCACCAGGTTATGGCATTGAACATGCCCAGTGTGTGCCTCCCTCCGAGTTCTCCGAGCCCAGCTTCATCACAGAATCCTACCAGACCCTGCACCCCATCAGCTCCGAGGAGCTGCTGTCCCTCAAGTACGAGAGCGACTACCCCTCGGTCATCCTGCGGGACCCGCTGCCCACGGACCCCCTGCAGACAGACTATTTCACCATCAAGCAGGAGGTGGTGACACCTGACAACATGTGCATGGGACGTGCCAGCAGAGGTAAAGCTGGGTTTAAAGCCGGGGTTTGCTTGGGTTCTTCCTGTCCTGCCTAGGGCAGCGTCAGCGCTGCCTTCCCTCCCGTGGGAGGGGTCACCAGGGGGCCGTTTCCAGACGTGTGTGTCCTCTGGAGTTGGATTCCCTGGTGGCTTTGAGCCCCCCCTGCCTTTCTCTCCAGGGAGAACTCAAAGAAGGTCTTTCTTTTCTCTCCTGCACTGCCTGTTTTCACAGCATCTGCAAAAATGTGGCGTTGCTGGTGCTGGGCTTTGATGTCAGACTGGGGTGAAATTACTGTCAGCTTTGAGGTTACTGGGGGGGACAAACTGCTGGGTGGTTGTAGAAACCCCATTTTTTAGGAGACCAGGCAAACCCCCACAAATTCTTCACAAGTTCTCATCAGGAATTACTGTCCAGGGCTCTGAGTAGTCTTACACTCGATGATCCAAAGTATTTATCCATTACCTCATGGATATTCTGCTGAACCCAAGCCCTGGGCTTTGTCAGGAGGTGCAGATTGTCAGGGGCTGTCAGGCAGCAGCAGAGCTGAAGGACCCCCTGAATCCTCCTGCTAACAGCCTGACATCTCCAAAGAGTTAGAGGTACATGATTCCTGTTGGAGATGATGGGATTTAAACACCTAAACACCTGGGAGGATCTGAGTCCAAATACCTTTCGGAGGAGCTGAGGAGGTGCTGCCTCCCCTTTGCAGCTCTGCACTGCACATCCCGGCTCAGAGCAGCTCATTTCAGGCTTCTCATTCTCCTTCCAGTCTGACAGGGAAGTTATTATTTATATTGTTACCTCTCCTCCTGACAGAGGATGAGCCAGGAGGGTGGCAGGGTTATAATTTTGGGTAAACTCCTCTTTCTGCGGTTGCTTTTCTGCCTGAATTTCGACAGTGCCTTTCCCTTTTCTCGACCTTCTCTTTGACACAGGTGATTTCATAATCCTCCTCGAAATGCAATGATCCAGGAAGGCTTTTGCAATTGTACCTCAGTGGCAAACCTTAAAATGGTTTCAGGGGAGGGGAGAGAGAGCCCTTAATGCTGTTGTTAGCAAAGACTTGGATATAATGATCCCAGCAGGCTGTGCTCCCACTAACACACATTTCAGCCCTGGAAAGAGCTTTGGGTGGCAGGAATCCTCCCAGAAGGGTGGAAAGAAGCTTTAATATAAAGCAGAGCCCAGTTAATTTATATTTATGGATGTCTTTAGCTCGCATTATCTTTAAAGTTGAGTCTCTCACAAAGCCAGGCCCTTGAGCATCACTCAGGGAGAGGGGTTTCCAGTCAGCTGTCTTTTGTGGGGGCTTTAGGAGTGAATTCTGTGCTCCCATGGGAGGTGTTTCACTCTGCCTTATCAGAAGAGGGCTCCTGGCTGGAAAGTGGAGCTGTCAAACTCTTTTAAGCTTCTCCTGGGCTAGTGCAAGGCGTGGTTTTTTTCAGTTAGGCCAAAGAGAGGTGAATTTTCAATGGATTGACACAAACCACATCCCTATCAGGTTTTTAAGTCCTTTTCTAAGTGAGCTTGTGCTGCTCAGGGAGTTGGTTGTGCCAATTAATGTGCACACACAGCAGTGCTGTTCTCCTTTAGCAGGATTCAGGAAAGCACTGAAGTGTATCCTGTGGAATCCTCTAAATAAAAATAGAAGGAACAAAAACAAAAGTGAGTTTGAAACATGAATATACCAGTGGATCCAAACATCCAAGGATTCCAGGCCAGCAATCAGGGCAGAGCCTTCATTAGCTGAGTCTTTCCACAGCAAGTGCTCTTCAAACTACAACACAACAAATGTTTAGGGGAGTGTGCCAGCGCCCTTCCACGTTCCCCTTCCCCTGGGATTCTCTCTCCAGGCCCAGGCTGCGGGTAGCTCTGCCAATGGAAATTTCTCCAGGAGCTCTTGCACAACCCCAGCAGCTGTTTTTAGCTTGGTTTGGGAAATTAGTGAACTTGAATGATCCTGTTACGCTCGCAGTTTGTCAGTAAAGATGTTGAGCAATCAGCAGCGTAAGGGAGATCAGAGGAGCAGCTTCAGTTTGTTCTTTGGCTCCTTTTTTAGCTCTGTTTTAAGTACAGAGGGTGTATTGCTGTCTTCAGTGGGTGTAAATCAGCACTGCTGAGGATCTGGCCTCTCATGTTCTGGTTTTTACTAAAAATACCCCAGAGAGCAGCTTTGATACAATCCAGCTGTGCTCACCTTACCAGAACTGGGAAAATAGCTGTTTGAGCTCTCAGCCCTTTGCTCTCCTCCTCCATCAAATCTGCTGCTCCCTGGGGATTTGGGGGTGGAAGCTGCTTGTAACATATGGCAAGAAAGGGCTGCTGTGGAGTTTTGGAGGAAACAGCAGAATAAAGGAGCTGGTGCAGTGCCTGTGGAAGGGCCTGAGCAGTGTTTGTATGGGGCTGGCAGAGGGAACAGGAGATTTATTGGGGACCCCCATGTCCTTCAGCAGGAAGAGAATCATAGAAATCATAAAGTAACAGAATGGTTTGGGTTAGAAGGGACCTTAAAGCTTGTTTCAACCCCCTGCCATGGGCAGGGACACCTTCCACCAGCCCAGGTTGCTCCAAGCCCTGTCCAACCTGACCTTGGACACTTCCAGGGATCCAGGGGCAGCCACAGCTTCTCTGGGCAACCTGTGCCAGGGCCTGCCCACCCTCTGAATAAAGAGGCCCTGGAGTTCCCATGTTTAGACACCTGAACTCAGTCTTGAATGTGCAAAGTGAATTATTTCTCTGATGTTGCCTTTTTGGAAGAGGGGGACCATTCCCAGTCAGCGAGGCAGGATTTGGGGGTTTTGCCTCTGTCTGTCTCTGAAGTTTTCCAGGGCTCTGAGTGAGGGATCCAGGTACAGGTCCAGGCTTATCTCAGGTGCAGGTCCAGGCTTATCTCAGGTGCAGGCTGATCTCAGGTCCAGGCTGATCTCAGATGCAGGCTGATCTCAGGTGCAGGTCCAGGCTGATCTCAGGTGCAGGTCCAGGCTGATCTCAGGTGCAGGTCCAGGCTGCACTCCCTTTGCAGATGAGGCTCGGTAGGTCAGCAGCACTCGCCCACCCAGCAGACAGGTGAAGTTCCTGTGCCGTCCATCACCTCTCACCTGCTGTCCCTGCTCTCCAGGCAAGCTGGGAGGCCAGGACTCCTTCGAGAGCATCGAGAGCTACGACAGCTGTGACCGGCTGACGCAGTCCTGGAGCAGCCAGTCCTCGTTCCAGAGCCTGCAGCGCGTCCCGTCCTACGACAGCTTCGACTCCGAGGACTATCCCGCCACCCTGCCCAGCCACAAGCCCAAGGGCACCTTCAAGGACTATGTTCGGGATCGGGCCGACATGAACAAGGACAAGCCTGTCATTCCTGCTGCTGCCCTGGCTGGATACACAGGTAGGGGTTGCCCATTCCCTGGGAATTCCCCATGGAGCAGCTGGGCAGGATCATCCCCAGCACGGCGGGGCAGAGCCTCGGGGTGCTCGAGGTCTGTCGGTGCAGTGGGGTGTGAGTGAGGGGTTTGGGGGACTCTGGAACACCCAGGATCTGTGTTGCTGTTTAGTGGGGTGTGAGTGAGGGGTTTGGGGCTCTCTGGGGTCAGCCACGTGCATCAGGCACACCTGAGAGCACCCAGACCCTGAGTGCTGCAGCTCCTCCGAGTGTGGGCATCCCACACCTCCTGCAGGACGTGGGAGCCGGCTGAGGGAAGGCGTGGTGTTCCATTTACACCCGGCTGGGGCTGGAAGGAGCGGGTGTCTGGTGGGATTCCTGGGAGAACAGGGCAGTGGAGAGCCCACATTCCTGTCCTGACGCTGTGTTGGCCACTTGGGGTTTCCCCCCTCAGGCAGGAGCAGCTGCACCCCCAGCACTGCTGTGTGGGATGGGAATGATCTTCTCCCCTCCTGGGAATCACTCGTTTTTGCTGTGTACCTTGGTGTGAGGCAGGGGTGGGATGGTGCCAAAGCAGTCCCAAACGTTTTCCATTCCCTGCTCTGGGAGAGATGAGAAGGTGATAGGCCATGGAAACTCTTCTGGTGTGGCAGCCCTGCAGCCACCTGGCATCTCCACGGAGAGAGGCTTGGTGGGCTGGGGCTTCCAGCTAAAACTGAGCTCATCCTTTCCATGGCTCTTCCCTGTGCTCTAAGTGGGACTCAGGGCAGCTCCTGCCAGCTCCCCTTGCTCTGCACACACTGATCTCTCCTGCCCCAGCTGGGAGCAGCTGGTGGAAAGAGTTTGTGCAGATAAGGATCAGCAGGTTCAGAACAGATCCTGAGGTGTGACTGTCCCTGAAATCTCCTCCCACGCTCGCTCAGCTCATCTCAGCTCATCTCAGGGCTGATCTCGAGCTTTTTGTGAGGGTGGGGAGAGGGGCAGAAGGAAGGAGAGGTGGGGAGGTAATTTTAGGAGTGTAAAAAAGGAAGTGGTTTGTTGCTGTAGCTTTAGTTAGAAAGAAAGCTCAGCCCTGCCTGCTCAACGAGACCATACCAAGTCCATACAGATATAAGTGTGCTCTGCCATTCCTGGAAGGGTTTTGGTTTGGGGGATGTGGTGGGAAGAGGCAGGAGGGGTAAGAGGGACTGTGCCCAGGTTCTTATCCTCTGCTGTGCTGTGGAAATTGCTGTTCCTGAAAAAAGGTGACCGGTGACCACGACTCGCAATTTCCATTCCCAATTTTCTCCCAGGAATGCCTTTGGAAGTGCTTTGGGTATCCAGTGCCTGGGAAGGAGCACTGGGTGAATTTTAATATCTGGGGAAACTGAGGCATAGAGGTGCTGGCAGAACTAGGAGCTCTATTTTCCAAGCTGGATGTTTCCCTCCACGTTTGCTGTAGCTCATGGAAAAGAGTGGAAAAGAACCACCCCCGCAGAGAGGCAGGAGCTGAAGTCAGAGGCTGGATGGACCCTGTGCTTTTCCAAGGAATATGAGCACCCCAAAGGCTGTCCTTGGACTGGTGCCACCAGGAAGGGGAGACTCGGGCTCCTGCAATGCCAGAGCACAATTCCAAAGGCTCTGTGCGGTGCAACATTTTCCCTCACCTCATTTCAAACCCCCTTTTGAGCTGGGAAGAACATCCCTTGGCCCAGGCACTTCTGTGTGATCAATAAGTGGGAAGGCCTGATTTTTTATTTGTTTTTGCACTGCTCCACTTGAGAGACTTTAAACGTGGAGAGGAAAATCCAGGATCACTCAGAAACCCTTGGGCTGGGGCTCTGCTTGCTCTCTCCAAAGGCTGCTGAGCAATACTCAGTCCTCATGCAACCACATCCCTTTAGCTGTTGGGAATGGTCTCTGGATGGGTGATCTTTGCAGGCAGGTGACTCCAGAGGTGTCCTCTGACCCTTTTCAAGCCCTCTGGCCTGCCAGCACCTTAAGTCTTCCACGCCAAGGGTGGGTGCAGAGCAGAGCTGGGTGGCTGTGAGAGCAGTGGGAGCGAGTGAGGACGTGTTGTGTTACAAACTGGAGGAGAACTGGGCGCTCTCAAACTCTGTGCTGATGGATTTCTGCCCAAAAATGCCATTCAGGCTGCCCAGAACTGCTGGGGATTGTCTTGGGCCAACTGAGCAAGGAGTGGGAGACTCAGGCAGAGCTTTTGGTGCTTTCTTTGCTTTGCTCTACACTCCTTTGGCTTCCCTGGGGGAGGAAGTGCTGTCTGGCAGCTCCAGCAGAGGAACTCAGTGTCTGGGCTCTGGCTGTGGCTCTGGGGAGGAGGTGGAGCCTCCAAACGGGCAGAGCAGGAGATTGACAGCCCAGGGTCCCAAAACAAGACCCCCACGTTCCACTTCTCCCTCAGCAGACTCCTTGAGCCCACACCCCACACCCACCCAGCACCCAAAGGTGCCGTGTAGGGCTGGGCCATCACATCTCCACCTCCAGGCCTCTCTGCTGGTTCAGAACCTGACAATATTTTTCAGCTCTGGTTACCAGGGGCCTGTTTTCGTGGTGGTGGCCCAGGGAGGTGGCCCAGTGCCCTGTCACAGCACATCTCTGATGGTATCTGCCCCGGCAGGCGCAGCCTGGGCTGAGAAGGTGCATTTTGGCGGAAGCTCCGTTGGTGTTTGGTGTGCTCTTGGTGTTTGATGTGTTCTCCAGCAGCTCCGAGAGCTTCTCAAAGCCGCCTTATCTGCCCCCACATCTTGACCTAATTTATCAAGTTGCCATGGTTGCTCACATAGAGGTTGATGCAATTTTCTTATCTTTCCTTTGAAGGAGAAATGTGATTGCTCAGGAGTTGGTGAAGTTCAGTTGCCATGGCTGCAGGGAGGGCCAGCTCTGGACACCTGGGTTTGGAGCCAAAGCTTGGCCAGCTTGAGTCTCACCAGAAGGAGCAGCTGGGGCTGTGTCAGGGCAGGCTCAGGTTGGATCTCAGCAAAAGGTTCTTCCCCCAGAGAGTGGTTGGCACTGAACAGGCTCCCCAGGGCAGTGGGCACAGCCCCAAGGCTGCCAGAGCTGCAGGAGGGTTTGGACAACACTCAGGGGCAGGGTGGGATTGTTGGGGTGTCTGTGCAGGATCAAGGGTTGGACTGGATGATCCTTGTGGGTCCCTCCCAGCTCAGGAGATTCTGTGGTTCTACATCAAGCCAGATTTGGGGGTTCTTCCAGCAGACAGAGTGCATCTGTCCCATTCAGGCCAGCCATGGGTCAGGGGGTGTGTTGGCTGCCAAACCTCCCCTTGGCTCAGCTGAGCTCAGCCTAAGCTGCACGTTCAGCAGCAGAGCAGTGTTGGTGTGGGTGGGTGGCTGGTGCTCAGCCCTGGGGCTGTGCTGTGCCTGGATCCTGCACTGTGCTGCTCCTGGTGACTCCCAGGGCCACCAGCACCTGAGTGGGACCCGATGCCACATGGCCAGACACCGCTGGTGTGTGGCAGGGTGAGCAGCCTGTGCTGGAGGCAGCAGGGTGGGACTGACCCCGCTGAGCTCTGACCTCTCCGCTGCTCCTGCTGCCCAGAGGAGGCTCAGCTCTGTGATGGCCACGGAGCACTGAGCTGCTGGTGGGTGTGTGGAGCAGCTGTGTGGGCTGGGAGCCGAGCTGTGGGCTTTGTTTGCTCCGTGGTGTGCAGGAGCCGAGTGTTGCCTGCGTGGGGTGGGGCTTTCCACAGCCCCAGAGCTCAGAGGGGCTGAGCTGCTGCTGCACTTCACTGAGCAGGCACTGCAGGGCCCCTCCTCAACCTCTGCTCTGCTCAGGGAGAAAGGGAGGAAAGAGGGATGGCAAAGGTGGAGTCAGCCAGACCTTGGTCCCACATCTGCAAGGCTGTCCTTGCCCAGCTGGGAAGCTGCTGATGCCTTTGAAGCCAATCTCAGCACCTAAAGAGTTAATGCCCCTTGAGTGTGTCTCTCAGGCTGATGTTATCCTGCTATCATTCTGCCCTCACAGAATCCGGGAGGCAGTGGAGGGAGCAGCCCCCTCTCACTGATGTTATCTCCCCTCAGCACCCAGAGGCTTCTCCCCTCCAAACCTTTCTGCCCAGGCCGGGTCCCACCCCGGTCCTCGCTATCAGCATTCACAGGGCCGTGTCCATGGGGCCCAAATTTGCTGCGAAATGCCTCTTCCCCTGAGTTGTCTGTGGTGCAAAGCCTGTGAGCAGCCTCTGTTTCTGAGTGATGTTATCAGTGACCCCCAAGTGAAAGCACACAGCTGCTGTTTTGCAAGAAAGTCGAGTCTGTGCCAAAGAAAGTGGGTCTCTGTCAGGGCGCCTCGTGTGCTGCTTCCCCTCGCCTTGTTGCTGTGCTGCTGCTCTGAAGCTCCCACCAGCCAGTTCCCCCACGTGCTGTGGTCATCAGCATCCAAAATTCCATCAGCAGCCACGCTCCAGCGATCCCTCTGTCCTTGGCATCCAGAGCCTGTGGAGCAGCGTTCCTAGAAACATCAGCATCCTTCCTGCTCTGCTGAGGCAGTGTGCCTGGGTGGGCACCTGCAACCCCTTGGGGCAGGGGAATCTGGAGAGGCAGGAAGCCACCCCAGCAGCCAGAATCACAGAATCAACCAGGTTGGAAAAAGACCTCTTAGATCATTAAGTCCAACCTGTGACCCAACACCACCTCGTCACCCAGACCATGGCACTGATGCCACATTCAGTGTCTTTTTAAACACCTGCAGGGAGGAGGTGTTTAAACACTTCTTAAACACTCCACCACCTCCCTGGCAGCCCATTCCAATGGCTGATTACTCTCTCTGTAAAGAACTTCTTCCTGATGTCCAGCCTGAACGTCCCCTGGCACACTTAAGACTGAGCCCTCTTGTCCTGCTGCTGGTTCCTGGAGAAGAGACCAACCCCACCTGGCTCCCCCCTCCTGTCAGGGAGTTGCAGAGAGTGCTGAGGTCACCCCTGAGCCTCCTCCTGTCCAGGCTCAACAACTCCAGCTCCCTCAGCCTCTCCTCACAGAGCCTGTGCTGCAGTC